TTGTTTGATAAAAAATCTCCGAAAAATAGACTGTTTTAACTGAAAAATATTGACAATTGATGTAACAATTTTTAACTGTTACTTAAAATTAAGTACATCTTCTATGACGTCCTGCATATCAAATCCTCCATGAGTCTTCGAAAATGGAAAAGTCTTCTGTTAAAGAAGGGGTTTAATAAAAAATATATCGGATTATCACGTTTTTTTTAATTTTAATTCAATGAAAGGAAATTTTTCACTATAAGCTTGATATACAACAGGGAAAATTGCTTACGTAAGGAAAAAATTGAATTTTTTTTGTGTAAAAGTATATAGACAGCTCTCAGACATCTAGTAAAAGTCTCCTAATTTTTTTCCTGATTTAAAAAGAAAAATCTCCTGGTAAACTACTGATTTTTGACAAAAATTTCCTGATTTCTTAAGCTTGAGTTTGGTAAGCCTGAACAGGACCTGCGCCCTGAAGGCAGGACGGTGCAGGATCTGCAAGAGGCAGGTCCTGTGACGTTCTCTGCCATATATAACCTCACAACAGTGTATATAGGAATAGTTTTTCTTTGATTTATGTATATATATATATACTGTTCAAAAACTTGGGTGTGAGTATTCTATTCAATTACACCCTCAAACACACCCACACACTGTTTACATCTTTTAGTAGTTCGAAGGGAGCTCTATGTATGCTGGAAAAATGCCTTTGCTGTGCAGAAAGCTAGTGGAGATCACATGGACTGTAGTAAGTTTTTTTCTGATCAAATCCAGGGTGAGAACTTTTGAGAGCTGGTGGCCGTGGACTAGAGCCCATCGATAGCACTTGGGGGAATATATGAGATGCGTATAGTTTTGATGGTAGAAGCACAAATTTTACTGAACAATTCGTTTAGTGACTGGCTCCGTATTAGGGCCGATTTGAGTAGAAATCGCCTGCGTCCTTTTTAAAGTTGATGCTCATGTAAATAAGAAATAGCCGATCTGCAAAGAAATCGACTTGAATTGCTAAAATCACTCAGAAAAAGAATTATGGTACATTTTGACTTAGACAACATCGATTTTGATATGTTTTAGTTTGACATTGTATTATGAAGGGTCAAAAATGTCTAATCCGTTCATCTTACATCTTTATGATGATTTATTTAATGCGAAACTGAAAATGAGAGAGCAAAAACATTAGAAAACATGCTAAAACAATCGTCCATTCGAGTGAAATTATCCGATGTCCGTCGGAAGTAGGCTTCGGTGGAACGATTCGTCCAGGCCGCGACAAGTAAAAGTTGGACAAGTATTCTGCATAGCGCGAGGAAGTGTTCATTGCATCACCATATATAATCATGTCTGAAAGAATGTCGGCCCATACAGGCACAAATTTCATTCCCCAACCGGCCGCTTGCAGCAAAACTTTCTTGTTCGTGTTGGGTACATAGTCGAGTACGAAACCGTTGTCCACCAGAAACGTAGCAAGACATGTGTGGTTGCTTGGATAGAAGTCATTCGGGTCCACTTGTGAAACGTATAGAGACACCCCCTCTATCAGTTTCCCAGTGACATAAGAATCGATTGCGTTCGTTCGTTGGGATGGGTAGTACAACGGTGTTGGGTGAGGGTGTGGGTGGGGTGTGTCGGTGTGGGCGTGTGTGGGTATGGGTGCAGGCTGTGGGTGTAGGTCTGGTTGTGGATGGGTGTGGATGGGTGTGGATATGGGTAAAAGGTTAATCACATACCCACACCCCTTATTGAGTGAGGTAATATCTGCTTCAAATATTGTTTATATATGCACATTCATTGTGTCATAAGCTCGTTTTTTATGTAAAAATAAATGGATCTAGGGCTTTCAATCTGTGACAAAGAAAGGGGCTTTCATTTGTGTAAATTATTGTATAAACGTGTAGAAATATAGTGAAATTTAATACTACAGCCTTCTATATTCATCCAAGACCATACGATTAAATCTTATACTTAGATTAAAGCAAGTTCTGATGGTAAAGTTGCAGAGATGACGATGCTGTGTACGGTTTTTCGAATGGCTTTTGTATGAGTTGTGGGTGTGAGTTTTCTTTTTGTCCATATCTACATCTTTTTTTTATGTCTCCCATGAGTTACACCTTCATGTTCACAATGTATATTTTCACCATATATCTTCTGCGCTATTGCTTCCTTGCAACCAATTGATATGGTTTTATCTTCGTTGACAGATACAACATCAACATGTATTTGTTGCTCCCAGCTTTATCTATGAGATAATAAATAACAGACGCACTTGTTGATTTGTATATTATAAAGAAACATCTCACGGCTAAACCAATATGTCAGATACATACTTGTTGATCAAGAAGCCGTTTGATTATTAAAAATTGCAAGAGAGCAGAAAAAAATAAGAAAAAGATTGGTCAAATGTATCTATCCAGATTTCAGGAGTATGCCGACACATCATTATCGAAATATTCAGACGATTTCTCTCTACAATGTTGACGATATGCAGGTATTTCCACGAGAAAACCACAACGTCTGTTTCCTTCTCTACAAGAGAAAACTAAAGGTGTTGTTTCTCTCTTCATATGCAAGAACAAACAAAATCTGGCAACCCAGCTCTATGAGAAAAAAATTAATCTTTCTCGCTCGTTTCATCGATGAACGTGCATATAAAGTCGGGAATGAGTATAGGGCCACACACTCTACAATAAAATGTGTCGTGATCAGTCTTTTAACCATTCATTCACTGTTTTGTTCTGTAAAAACCGCTACGTATAACCAACTCAATTGAATATAATGAACTTACCTATCTTCGTATGTCTTTCTGTCTAAATTATTTCTCACTTAGTTATCAGCCAAGAACATGTTGAGAGATTGTTTGACGATCGAGATCTCAAGATCTGGCCGCCTTGAGCTTTAACATTAGGTATCACTACTACGAATTAAACTAAAAAGTAGTAATCATTTGTTTCTGCAGAAAAAAGGACAAATGTCTTAAAGAGTGAACTCGAACCACATTTTCAAAATGTGTTGCAAGATGCATGCGAGACATTTTATTTCAGAGTATATGATTTACATGCTTGCTCACATTCATCCACTGTTATTTCCTTCAACAACGAGCAGTAGCGCACGACAACGCAAAAGACGAGTCAACTGCTTCATTTGGTGGTCGTCTTGGTTTTGGTGGTAAGAAGCGGCAAGCTACAAGTGGTGACGATGGAAGTATTGTTAGAAAGCAAACATTTAAAATAGAATTGACCTTCAAACATTAATCATATTTTAAAATCTCAATGAAATTCATTCAAACAAGTTTCCTAGTGAATATATAAACGGATCAGTAAAAACTAAACGCCAAATATGTTATTAGTAAATGTCAGAAAATCCTATTTTTCTGTCTCCATACATTCTAATCGACTATTTATCTTATCTAACGTTTCAAGTTAGATCATATAGTATAAAATGATTTTATTCTCTTCTCCTCTAGGTAGGACATTAATAGAAAGAATGACGAGCTGCTAATACGCATACTTATACAAGAGAAAAACATTTCTAAAGTACATCAAGTAATGTATTTCTTATTATAAGAATTTTTTTTTTCTAGACTATAATATTGATTATTAAGTTTATAAGGACATTTATATAATTCTATCGAATGGATGACGATCTATTCATTTGTTTTGCGTCGCGTCACGGTACCAATAATAGTAATGCTCTTGTTGGTAATGATTTCTATGATCTTGAATGTATAAATCAATGTACAGAACACCATACTACATTATACCATAATACAGCAGAGATGTAAATTGAAAAAAAAATACTGATCAGAATTTCTATTACAGATAAAATTTTTATACAATTCTCATGGAAATATGCAAAAGCATTTTCCTCGAATTTAATTATGATATAAAAAAGAAGTTGATATACACGTATAACAGAAAAATATCTCACGCATTTGACTGTATTCCTAGACAAAAAAAACTCAGAAGCCAAATCAAATTATCTTTTAGTAAAAGGCAAAATGTGGCCCTTAGATCAAAAGAAAACAAGAGACTAAGTAATTCTTAATGCATAAGAAAGATTTCGAGTCTTTCGATTAATATTTGATTTAGTTCATATTCAAAATAATGATTATAAATCTTATTATTGTTAATAAATACACACATATTTTACAAATAATTGCTGTTGTTATTATTATATTTGGTCTAATTGGAAAAGTTTTTAATTGTATTATTTTTCTTCGAAAACCGGTTTGTATTATTATACTGAATCTAGTTTTCTATCTGAATAAACTTCTTTCATCTAATTTTAGCTGCGTAATACATCAACTGACATAGTACTTCTCTTTAAAACACTATTCGATATGGTTCTACTTCTGTGAATATTTATCTTTGATACAAATTTTTTTTTCCATTAAAGATGAAAAAATAAATGCATCTCGATTGTTATGTGTATTATCACGTAATAGGGATATATTTGTTTCTTGGTCAATTGGTTTTGTTATTTTTGCTTGTATTGTACATCATATTACAATAGTACATTCAAAATGCTTACGTCAACCAACAAGTCTTCGAGTATTTACACTTATATTATTAACGATGCTATGTCGTTTAACATATAATTGGCATATTTTTTTATTATCTAAATTTAGTGAAAACAACATTGATTGATGGTGAAAATCGTTCATTTACTTATTGTACTATTTTATTTGGTCGGCAAATGGGTTATTTTTCATATGGTGGTTTTCAAGCTACACGGGAATCCTTATATGATGCTCCATTAGTTAATTTTATTGTTTCATCATTAATACCATTTGTAATAGTTGCACTAACAAATATCATTATTATCATATATGTGTTAAAAGTACCACCAAAACCTATATCAACAATTGATTTACATCATAATGATACATTATTATCAAAAAATGTTCAACCTTCTGATTCATTACGTTCATCATTTAGCAAATTGCTAATACAAATAATAAAACAAGCTGGTAGTTATGAAACAACAATAATATTAATCACAAGTTGTGTTTTTTTGATAACAAATAGTATTGTAAGTATTTATATTTATGTTAATTCAAATCATCGTTCAAATCATTCACGTTTAACAGAAGATTTGAAAACCTTAAAGGTTTATCGTATTTTATGTATGTTAGCATTATTTGGTATAGTTTTAGAATTTTATATTTATTTTTTAATTGGAAAAAAATTTCGTGAAGAAGTTTATCAACATTAAGAAACTATTATAAATGTACACGTTTATCATCTCCAAATCAAACGACAAATATATCCAATTGATGACAACGAACAATAACAATAACAATTCCAATAATAATCAAAGACATTGTAGAAATATTAGATAAAATAGCAAGTACCTTATGAAAGATATATTTGGGATTAATTAGAATATTGATAAGAAAAAAAGACAAGAAGATTTTCAGTTTAAATTATCGCCAAAATGAACATATATTTTGACAAAAAGAGATATACGTCTATCATTTAAGAAAAAATGGAAAATAATTAGAATACATCAGATATAAAACACAATAGAATTAACTTAGTTTAAAAAAGAAATGAAAAAATAATATCAAACTTTTTGTCTTGGTAATGAAACACTGGATGACTTGGAAAATTATCCTTTGATGAAGTTTTGAATGAATATTTGTGGCTATGTTTTGTTCAAACAATTCTCCTCCACAAAATGTAATCAAATTCATTTCTTTAACAATATTTTGCAACAAGTTATATAAACAATAGATTCAACAAAGCAGTATTTAGATATGGTCTCCGTTTGATCTGGTATCCTTAAAAAAAGTTTTGAAATGCAAGCAGTATAACACCCGCGACAGTAGGAACCAAATTCAATATACTAACTAATAGAAAATAAATACCGTGTGGTTTTGAACGAAGTGATCGTAATAGAAATACCAAACAATTGAGCACATTACCGGTCATGCCAGAAAGAAGACTAATAACTGACATCGATAGAATTATTAACACTTGACATTTTCAAAACTAACTTCTCTAAAAGAAACTAGAATAGCTTTTTTAACGAGTGTAATACTACAGGTAGAATTGAAGCTTGTATATGTTTGGTTGAATAATACAACTAGCTGAATAGTAACATTTCGATAATCTTTGAAGATAATTATCCTCATTTTTATCTGCAGTTACTATCTATTTTTGATGAATCAAAGGCACTGATTAATTATTTGAAAACAAGGTATGGGTGAAAAGAAGACCTACATCTACACCTTATTCCTCGCTCGGATCGTTCTAGTACGACTAATCATTGATCTGTCTGTAAAGCTACGGAAACCCTGTACCAAAGCTCTTACTATTCAACCTTTTATTTTTGGGCAGCGTTCAATGAATGACTTCCGTTCGAGAAAACGCTTTCGTTTCTACGAGAAATATCGATGAAATTTGGCGATTTTAACAAATCTATTTAGTTTTTAATTTCTTTCTAAAATAAATCATTGCCCGAACCTTGCACCATGGTTCTGTGTGGTGACGTTTTTTCTCATTTTACCAACGTTGGATTTCTGCGAAGGTCTTGTCTTATTATTGTATCAGTTCTCAATTTCACATGATCACCAACGATATTCATCTTCACAAATGACGTCTACTTCAATAACCCTTGAGTCATTTATTTCTTGTCGAACTCTCCACAAATATGATCCTGCATGTTCAATTCAGAAATATTCACATGTATTGTTTCTAGTAAATTTTCTACACAAGTACCTAAAATAAATATCACTGAAAAATAAACCTCTCAGATAAACTTGCTTTGAGACAGACTTAAAGGTCTCAAATTTTTTTACGAAATTCTCAAGGAGTACCAAGTCAATAGTGTTTCGAAAAAAAGCTTCAGTTTCATCAATCACATAGACATAAGAAAATCATATTATTCATATGAGCTACTTCTTCACCCTGCTGTAGTGCTAGCAACCTGAGTGCAGAACTCGAATATAATTGTCTATCAAAATCAAGCGTATTTATGTATACATGGCATGAGAGAAAGTTCTATTCAAGTTAATAGAAGACATTACAGTTCGACTCATTCCTGCTGAAATAAGTACTAATATTCAGCCTGTCGAATGTCATTTACTGCTATGGTGGTAGCAAGGACACTAAATCAAATTAAACAAAATTAATATGAAAATAATCAACTGTTAGCAGCACAATGAATCATCAGTTTTAATGAAACAAAGATAACATTAGTTTTATTATGAATGAGTTATAAAAGCATATCAAGAGTTAATACAAAAAAATTATGACCCTCAAAACTAAAACGGAAATATCTACAAATCCGTATGTTAATTATCGTCGATATCTAATCATTGTATTACCTTCAAATTCGGAACTGATTAAATTAATTTCATTCATTTAATTGGTCCTATGAGAAAAACCGACATAGTTTAAAGCCTGATGATTCATGGTCAAAGGATAGCTTAAACTCCATAATCGCTAGTAGTTCTCCTCATCTTGATTTATACTTATCAGGTAAAGGTAACCTACAGAATATGATAAAAGTTCTATCAAGCAATGATATTATCTATTCAAGGATGAATTCTACAAACAAATTTTTTTAAAAAGTATTATTAGTACAAAAATGTTTTATTTCGCGAACAATAAAAAATGTAGAATAGAGACCACTAATAGATTTGGACTATTGGTTGAGATTCATCACAATGTATTACTTGAAAACTAACGTATACTAAGTTGAACGGTTGGGCCCATTTCTGATGGTTGATAAACATTAGGACGTGCTCTATATCGTTTAGTTGCTATATCAATTTCATATGTTGCTCCACGAATATAATTGATAGTTATGTTTTCTGAAGCGGGCGCATGAACATGTCCTAAGCAGACCTAGAAAAATCATAGATATTAAAACAAGAAGTTTGTTTAATTATATATATATATACTTGTTTTCCGAGTGTAAAACCATATGCTGCAGATGTAACAAATCCACAAAATTTACCATTACGATAAATAGGTTCACCACTCCATGGCCTTAATTAAAATCTTAATTATATTATTCATGGAGAAAAAGTCAATTTACCATGGATCTGATTCCAAATTATGATCTTCAAGAAGAAATTGAACAAATCTTTTTTGTATACCTTCTTTTCGTTGTTTTAATAAAGCTTCTTTGCCAATAAAATCTTTCTAAAAAAATAATTTAGATAACTATTATTCATTAAAATAGATTTTCATTGTTTTTTTTTTTTTTTACATCAAATGAAACGTGAAATTCTCGATTTAAATGAAGTGGTGTTGTTTTCTTATCGATATCATGTCCCCAAGATGGATACATGCGTTCAATTCGAAGAGTTCGTTGAGCAAAATATCTAAATAAATACAAAATTAAAAATTAATTAAAACAAATAATCTTACCCAGCATTAATAATTCCATAATCTTTACCTTGTTCCATTAACATATCATATACACATAATGCATACTGAAAGAAAAAAAATAGTTAATTTCTGGAAAAAAAAAATAAACAGAATTATAAATTAATTTTACTTCTGATGGAATATAGAGCATAAAACCATCTTCACCAGTATGTGTCAATCGCATAGCATAGATATGACTAACAAAACCGACATCGATTTCCTGAAAATAATTAATTAATGTTACGTGATAGATCAAATCCTTCATTGATAAGAATAATCATTCGGTCTTCTTGGATGGCAAAAAAAAAAAAAATATCATACCTTAATGATTACTTTTTTAATCATCTATAAACTTTAATAAGAAATTTTCTTTATGTTCATTTGTTTTTTAATCAAAACATTTAGTTAACATTCTTTACTTTTAAGTTATTGTGATTCTCATCAAATTTATTCATTTTCTTTTTACATATGACTTACTTGACAAGTCATTCTTGCAAAATCGTTAAAATTTTCATCACTCAATTCAGCTAATAAATATTTTGCTTTTGGTCCAATTACATTCAATGCTGTATAAAGTGATGTTACATCTGATAGAAGAACAGAACCATCTTCTGGTACATGACTTTTAAGCCATTTCATATTACGAGTAGATTGTGATGTTGGACTAACCAAAAGAAAACTAAATCAAGACATAATAAAATATTTCTTTAAATAATAAAATTTTTATTCTACTGATATTCTCCAAGACGTATGACAGAACAATCATTTTCATAACCACCTTGTTCATTTAACATTCCCGTATGAATAACAGTACCAATTGGTTTATCAATATTATTAGCACAAAGCATTTGTAGAAAATCCACAACACTTCGATTAGCTGATTTAAGTTCATATTTTGTAAATGATGTCATATCAATAATAGCTACACCTTTTCGACATACATTATATTCTTTTTTGACTGTATTAAACCATCGTGCTTTACTGAATGTACCTTGTTTACTTAAATCTTCGAAACCTTTTAAAAAATATAAATAAAAGAAAAAAAAAAAAAGTTTTGTTTTCTTTCAAAATACTTTTTCCTGATTCATTTGGTGTGAAAAATAATGGACGTTCATAGCCGAGCACTTCACCATAAACTGCACCAGCTGCTTGTAATTTCGGATGTAATGGTGAAACACGTAATTTTCGTCCTGTTTGATATAGTGACATACCATATGTTGGATATTTTAATGAATATTGTTTTCCTAACATAATTCATTGCAAGTAAATAACAGGAAAAAAAAAACCACAGACCCAAATTTTACCTGGTATTTCTCGAAGACGATCTTCAAGAAAACGTTTATTTGTATGTAAACGCATAAAACGACGTATATCAACTGGCCATGTGCTTAATTCTGTATTTCCTTTATGTATTAATTCAGCCATATATTTTCCAACACCACCAGCAAGTGCTATACCATGTCCATTTGCACCAGATGCAACAAAATAATTATCAATCTAGAGATTTATCTTTTATTAAAAATTATTTTTACTCGAATAAATAACTAACTTCAGCTGATTCATTCATAATTAATCGACCATCTGGTGTAAAACTATCAGCACCAGTAATCAATATTTCGTATTCACTTTCAGCAAGAATAGGAAATCGTTTAATAGCATTGCTTAATATCCAATCTATTGATATTTTTATAATTGAAAATTAATTAAATAAAGATAACTTACGAAAATCATCCCAATTATCAGGTAAAAGAGAAAAATTAAATGTATCTGGAACACCATTTGAAAAAAGAGACTTCGATTGACGTAGAAAACCACCAATTAATACACTATGAT